AAAAATGCAAGGTTAACCCCTTATCGTTTTAAATTTTGGATAAAAACGTGTTTTTGCCCCTTTTTGATAAAAATTCAAGGCTAACCCCTTACTGTTGTAAATTTTGGATAAAAATGTGTTTTTGCCTCTTTTGGATAAAAATGCAAGGCTAACCCCTCACCGTTTTAAATTTTGGATAAAAATGTGTTTTGCCCCTTTTTGATAAAAATGCAAGGCTAACCCCTTACCGTTTTAAAATTTGGATAACAATGTTTTTTTGCCCCTTTTTGATAAAAATGCAAGGCTAACCCCTTACCATGCTTACCGTTGTAAATTTTGGATAAAAATGCGTTTTTGCCCCATTTTGATAACAATGCAAGGCTAACCCCTTACCGTTTTAAATTTTGGATAATAACGTGTTTTTGCCCCTTTTTAATAAAAATGCAAGGTTAACCCCTTACCGTTTTAAATTTTGGATAAAATGTGTTTTTGCCTCTATTTGGTAAAAATGCAAGGCTAACCCCTTACTGTTGTAAATTATGGATAAAAATGTGTTTTTGCCTCTTTCTGATAAAAATACAAGGCTTACCCCTTACCGTTTTAAATTTTTGGATAAAAATGTGTTTTTGCCTCTTTTTGATAAAAATACAAGGCTAACTAACCCCTTACCGTTTAAAATTTTGGATAAAAATGTGTGTTTGCCCCTTTGGATAAAAATGCAAGGCTAACCCCTTACCGTTTTAAATTTTGGATAATAACGTGTTTTTGCCCCTTTTAGATAAAAATGCAAGGCTAACCCCTTACTGTTTTAAAATTTGGATAAAAATGTGTGTTTGCCCCTTTTTGATAAAAATGCAAGGCTAACCCCTTACTGTTGTAAATTATGGATAAAATTGTGTTTTTGCCCCTTTTTGATAAAAATTCAAGGCTAACCCCTTACTGTTGTAAATTTTGGATAAAAAGTGTTTTTGCCTCTTGTTGATTAAAATGCAAGGTTAACCCCTTACCGTTTTAAATTTTGGATAAAAATGTGTGTTTGCCCCTTTGGATAAAAATGCAAGGCTAACCCCTTACCGTTGTAAATTTTGGATAAAAATGTGTTTTTGCTCCTTTTTGATAAAAATGCAAGACTAACCCCTTACCGTTTAAAATTTTGGATAATAACGTGTTTTTGTCCCTTTCTAATAAAAATGCAAGGTTAACCCCTTATCGTTTTAAATTTTGGATACAAACGTGTTAGTTTGCCTTTTTTGGATAAAAATGCAAGGCTAACCCCTTACCGTTGTAAATTTTGGATAAAAATGTGTTTTTACCTTGTGCTTTGGTGCTTAAAATTCAAGAACTTGTCAGAGTAATGATGTGATTATTGAAGAAATAAAGAGAAACAAAATGGAAATAAAAGCTTTTATACCTTGTGTGTTCACTTTATTTAGCATTTGTCCAATAGCAATTGTTTAATAGCTTAAAATAAGGAAAAAGAATGATTTAATGAATATTCATCAGGAAATCAATGAATATTCATAAGGCGAAATATATAATGAGTATGAACAAATGATGGTATAGCTGAAAAGTGGTTTCACCACTGAATATTCATAAGGCGAAATATATAATGAGTATGAACAAATGATGGTATAGCTGAAAAGTGGTTTCACCACTGAATATTCATAAGGCGAAATATATAATGAGTATGAACAAATGATGGTATAGCTGAATATTCATAAGGCGAAATATATAATGAGTATGAACAAATGATGGTATAGCTGAAAAGTGGTTTCACCACTGAATATTCATAAGGCGAAATATATAATGAGTATGAACAAATGATGGTATAGCTGAATATTCATAAGGCGAAATATATAATGAGTATGAACAAATGATGGTATAGCTGAAAAGTGGTTTCACCACTGAATATTCATAAGGCGAAATATATAATGAGTATGAACAAATGATGGTATAGCTGAATATTCATAAGGCGAAATATATAATGAGTATGAACAAATGATGGTATAGCTGAAAAGTGGTTTCACCACTGAATATTCATAAGGCGAAATATATAATGAGTATGAACAAATGATGGTATAGCTGAATATTCATAAGGCGAAATATATAATGAGTATGAACAAATGATGGTATAGCTGAAAAGTGGTTTCACCACTGAATATTCATAAGGCGAAATATATAATGAGTATGAACAAATGATGGTATAGCTGAAAAGTGGTTTCACCACTGAATATTCATCAGGAAATCAATGAATATTCATAAGGCGAAATATATAATGAGTATGAAAAAATGATGATATAGTTGAAAAGTGGTTTCGGACCCAAAATTCGGACCCAAATTCGGACCCAAAATTCGGACCCAAAATTCGGACCCAAAATTCGGACCCAAATTCGGACCCAAAATTCGGACCCAAAATTCGGACCCAAAATTCGGACCCAAAATTCGGACCCAAAATTCGGACCCAAAATTCGGACCCAAAATTCGGACCCAAAATTCGGACCCAAAATTCAATTCGGACCCAAAATTCGGACCCAAAATTCGGACCCAAAATTCGGACCCAAAATTCGGACCCAAAATTCGATGCATGCAGGACCTGAACCCACAACGCCTGGGTTTCCAGTCACAACTACTAACCAGTGCACTACTTGGGTCCCCCCAGTACATTTCCCTATTTTATAAACTTAGCTCTTAGGTTCCCTAAATAAATTTCAATAACAGTGCTTCCACACTTAGCCACACACAACTCTGAAACTCTCTTACAAATTCTAATATTTCAACTTCCTGTCTATTTATTTTTTTGAAAAAAAAAAATTTACCATCCAGATTGCTCTTTCTTTTTTTTTGACAAACAAAAAAGGCAAACAATTGTGTTTTTTTGGAGCTACAAATCAAATTGTTTGATCCAATCATAATTATTCTAATAGTGCATTGGAACTTAACAGATCATGTTTTTCAGCTGGCTACAGTTCAATTCCACACATCTCGAGAGAAGACGCATTAACAAAAACATTGTAATTACTGATGACTGATTTGATTTATTGAAATAATTATGACCGACAGAACAATTCATACACAAGAGAAAAGTAAATAATAACAGGAATAATTTGTACAGAAAACCACTGCCTTGCGATGCCATGGATAGTTAGAAAGGCAGTTTCAATAATGTTACATAGTACAGACTTCATACATTGTTAATATGTACTCTGAAATTATTCTACAGTACTATTTACAGCTTTTATACAAATGTGCATAAACACAGCATTGGTAGTTAATTTTAACGGATAATTTCAATAAAATCATGTGAAATACTTCCATGTGTAGCTATGGTTGGTCATTTTTTGGTCCATAAAATATTAATCCTTCAAAAAAGTGTAAGATTTAAACTGAAAACTGTCCCATTCATTATTGCTAATTTCCTGTTAACGTTTAAAGGCACATTTTGCTTGTTTCGCTGAACAAAAACAATATAATGTACATTATTGTTGATTCCTCTGACAAATGCACTTAGTTTCTAACATTAGGTGTTTTTCAACTAACCTCAAAACTTAAACGTCATTTTTTCATAAAAAAATCAAACATAATTTCAGTGTTATCCCAATTATAGTTTTCTTCTCTACACATTTCCCTTCGCATCTGGGAAATAAATTTACCTCTTTTTTTCCGTTCAAACCATGAAACCACAGATACTTTATAGTTACTTATAAAACTAGAGACTTATGAAATAAATAATTTTGGAATCTGTTGAAGTTTGTGGTGTTACATAACCATCAGAATGCACATCTATCAGCCTCATTTCAACAATATGGATGACTGTATGTTACACAATGAGTGCGTTTGATTATTTTCCCCAGCTTACTCGCGCTTGGCTCGCGTGATGACAGACATGCGCAGTGGAGCTAAATAAACGAACGGTTCCGGGTTAAGTTTTGTGCAAGGAGCTGGAAAGTTGAACTTTGACATGACACTGAGGCTGCATCCGAATCAAGTGTCTAGCTCTGCGCCCACTGAAAATAGCGGCGGGGACGCACTGACAATAGACGTAGCCGTGGCTCTGGAAGCCTGTTTCGGACACGGCCTGAGGCGCCCGCCGAACGTCACGTTGGCAGCCGTGTTCATTGTATGGCCTTATGGGATACTTACCCAAGTAACTGGCTCGGTGAGTCGGTTACTTGGGCCAAGCTTGAGTAAGCACGAGAAGTCACGTGAGAGGTAAATCGAATGCTGTCGTGCTTGCACGAGTAAGCGTGGGGGAAGTAATCGAACGCACTCAAATTAAGCAAAGCTTACCTGAATAACCCTTAAGCACTGAAGAAAGATCTTTTGCTGTTAATCCCTCAACCGTTTTAAAGTACAGTATGATTTTCTCTTCAAATATGAAAAGTCTTACTTTGCAGTACTTCGAGTCTGTTCCATCCCTGTGAAGCACCAGCAAGGTAGTGATGTGCACTTGGTGCAGTCCTTCTCCTGGGCCGCATAGTGCTTCTCAAGGGAGCTCTGTTCTGAGTCTCTTCCATCCCTGTGAAGCACCAGCAAGGTAGTGATGTGTACTTGGTGCGGTCCTTCTCCTGGGCCGCATAGTGCCTCTCAAGGGAGCTCTGGTCTGAGTCTGTTCCATCCCTGTTAAGCATCAGCAAGGTAGTGATGTGTACTTGGTGCAGTCCTTCTCCTGGGCCGTATAGTGCTTCTCAAGGGAGCTCTGGTCTGATTCTGTACCATCCATGTGAAGCATTAGCAAGGTAGTGATGTACTTCGTGCGGTCCTTCTCTTGGGCCGTGTAGTGCTTCTCAAGGGAGCTCTGGTCTGAGTCTGCACCATCCCTGTGAAGCATCAGCAAGGTAGTAATGTACTTGGTGCGGTCCTTCTCCTGGGCCGTATAGTGCTTCTCAAGAGAGCTCTGGTCTAAGTCTGTTCTAGCCGTGAGAAGCAGTCCTTCTCCTGGGCCGTATAGTGCTTCTCAAGAGAGTTCTGGTCTGAGTCTGTTCTAGCCGTGAGAAGCAGTCCTTCTCCTGGGCCTTATAGTGCTTCTATAGTGCTTCTCAAGAGAGCTCTCTGATGTGAAGTGAGCTGGTAGATCTGCCATCACCTGGTCAAGAAATTTGAATATTGTCAATTTGGGAAAAAATGTTTGATACTGATTGAGAGATTTACTTGTATTCATTATTAGCTATCTTGCAAATTCGAGTGGAACAAGGTTAAAAAAAAAATAGGTTAACCAGTTTGCATCGGATAACGTGTATACAAACAAAGATTTTGCGGTATTCGTAGCGGATGCCAGATGAACAAGAATGATAGCCGAGTTCTACAAATACAGATGTCAAATTGGTTCAGAGAACTCTTAGAGTTTTTAAGAATAAATTATTGTTTCACTGAAGAAGAAGTGTCTTTGCTCCCTTATTAGTCCCATCCTTGTAGATAGGATAGGATGCCTGGTTATATATCTTTGAAACAAACGAATCCGGGAAATATAAATTTATAGTGACTTGGCATCATTACATCTTGCAAGGTGACAAAAGAAAGTCCTGAATAGCGCCCTCTACGCCACCTCACCCGGCCGCAGCATTACATGACAAAAACAATGAAACAAGCCCATTGGTTTTACTTTAAACATGCCTTAGACCTTACTCCATATTTTTTATACAATTTCCTTAAAAAAAGTTAAAACATAAGTAGTCACTATCAAAGGTTATTAATATCACTCAATCCGAAAATAAAAAGAAAACAAAAATCCCCCACTTGCATTATTGTCCATTCAGCCATAAAAAATCGTTGCGCGTCAATTTTGATCTGTTAAGTCAATTTGTTTTTTTTCTTTAAAATTTTCTGTAGCTACAACAGTGCGCTTTAGTGCTGCACCGCTTCAAATATTTAGCACTAAGGAGCACAAGGGCACCAAGGCAAATGATAGGGCACCAAGTCAAATGATGTAACACCATATGAGAACTCAAACAAACAAAGCAGTACCACTTTGCTATTTTTTCCCAAGCTTGGATGGTACAGACAAAGAATATTTTTTTAAACGCATCACTAGTTTGAATACAATTTAATACCAAATTAGTGACTCTCAACAGTATAGTTATGAACTCACAGTCTGTTTGTTTGATGACGGAATTTTTGTTACAACTTCCACATGGTAGTAGATTAAAAGGCGACTACAAAATACTTCAGTCTGTGTAAAAAAAAAAAAATAGGCGACTTGATCAAAGTTACTTATTGTACAAGTGCGATTAGGCCTAAACCTTTTTTTTCCTGAATCTTTTTCTTAAAGTTGCTAAATGAAAGCTGTAATCGCGAACAACAAATCTGTTGATGAACACACAATTGTGTGTTAATTTGAATTTGTTGTTAGGTTTTTCAAATAGACCTACAAACGCTGTGGTATAATAGCTGATTATGCTTTTTACCTCTTTACAAAAAATTGCTGATCCAAATGCGTTGCAGATAATGTTGGGATAATATTCTGGTTGTTTACAAGTTTTGTTTGGGTGGCTTGATTTGGTCGATCTTGTAGCTTGGATCATGTCCCTCGAGCCAGTACGTCAGGCTTTCACCTTTGCCCTGAAATAAAAGAAAGAAAATAGATAAGAGATTGGTTGAAACAGTTATCTCATGTTTCCTTTGAAAAATGATGGACTTGAGAATTTGCAGCAGTGAAAATTGAAGGAAGGGTAGATCATTTGTCATTTGTGATTTTTTTCCCATTTGAAGCAACAAACGTGCTCAAAATCTAAAGATAAGTGCTTAACAACTACCCCAAATGATAAAAGATATGTGAATGCTGTGTTTTCAGAGGAAACAATATTCTAGGATCTCAATTTCTATTCAAAAGTTGCTGAGACACGTTTGTTCTCATTCAGCTGATTGAAGCTTTGCAATGTTGCACACTAAACCGCTGAATGAGTCATGTCAACGCGTATGCACACCCATTCACAGATCAGTCCGATCACAAACCAACTAAACAAAAACTTCCAAAAAATGTGTCATTTGACACACTATTTAGAAATGGCCTTCTTTTATTGTGTTCTTCACAATGACAACATGTAATGCCAGAGAGAATAATTTCACAGGCAGTCCGACTAGCTGTACTAAGGGTTGTTTTTCTATTTTTATAGTAATTTTCCTACTTGGGTCTCGATCCTTTGCGGCTGGACTCTGATGTTCTCATAGAGCTATATTAAAGTACAATACTTGTGATGTACTTGTGACTAGACTTGTGATATATGCTTGTGACTGGACCTGTGATGTACCTGTGACTAGACTTGTGATGTACTTGTGACTGGACTTGTGATTTACTTATGACTGGACTTGTGATGTACTTGTGACTGGACTTGTGATGTACTTGCCACCAGACTTGAGATGAACTTGTGACTGGACCTGTGATATACTTGTGACTGGACTTGTGATTTACTTGTGACTAAACTTGTGATATACTTGGACTCGACTTGTGATGTACTTGCCACCAGACTTGTGATGTACTTGTGAACAGACTAATGATGTACTTGTGACTGGGCCTATGATGCACTTGTGACTAGACTTGTGATGTTCTTGTGACTGGACTTGTGATGTACCTGTGGCTGGACTTGTGATGTACCTGTGACTAAACTTGTGATGTTCTTGTGACTAGACTTGTGATGTACTTGTGACTGGACTTGTGATGTTCCTGTGACTGGACTTGTGATGTACTTGTGACTATAGACTTGTAATGTACTTGTGGCTGGACTTGTGATGTACTTGTGACTAGACTTGTAATGTACTTGTGGCTGGACTTGTGATGTACTTGTGACTAGACTTGTGATGTACTTGTGGCTGGACTTGTGATGTACTTGTGACTAGACTTGTAATGTACTTGTGGCTGGACTTGTGATGTACTTGTGACTAGACTTGTAATGTACTTGTGACTGGACTTGTGATGTCCTTGTGACTAGACTTGTGATGTACTTGTGACTGGACTTGTGATGTACTTGTGACTAGACTTGTAATGTACTTGTGGCTGGACTTGTGATGTACTTGTGACTAGACTTGTAATGTACTTGTGGCTGGACTTGTGATGTACTTGTGACTAGACTTGTGATGTACTTGCGACTGGACTGGTGATGTTCCTGTGACTGGACTTGTAATGTACTTGTGGCTGGACTTGTGATGTACTTGTGACTGGACTTGTGATGTACTTGTGACTAGACTTGTAATGTACTTGTGGCTGGACTTGTAATGTACTTGTGGCTGGACTTGTAATGTACTTGTGGCTGGACTTGTGATGTACTTGTGGCTGGACTTGTAATGTACTTGTGGCTGGACTTGTGATGTACTTGTGACTAGACTTGTAATGTACTTGTGGCTGGACTTGTGATGTACTTGTGACTGGACTTGTGATGTACTTGTGACTGGACTTGTAATGTACTTGTGGCTGGACTTGTGATGTACTTGTGACTAGACTTGTAATGTACTTGTGGCTGGACTTGTGATATCCTTGCGACTGGACTTGTGATGTACTTGTGACTGGACTTGTAATGTACTTGTGGCTGTACTTGTGAAGTACTTGCGACTAGACTTGTAATGTACTTGTGGCTGGGCTTGTGATGTACTTGTGACTGGACTTGTGATGTACTTGTGACTAGACTTGTGATGTACTTTTGCTTGGACTTGTTTGTACTTGTGATGTACTTGTGAATGAACTTGTGGCTGGACTTGTAATGTACTTGTGACTAGACTTGTAATGTACTTGTGACTGGACTTGTAATGTACTTGTGGCTGGACTTGTGATGTACTTGTGACTAGACTTGTAATGTACTTGTGGCTGGACTTGTGATGTACTTGTGACTAGACTTGTGATGTACTTGTGACTAGACTTGTGATATCCTTGTGACTAGACTTGTAATGTACTTGTGACTGGACTTGTGATATCCTTGTGACTAGACTTGTAATGTACTTGTGGCTGTACTTGTGAAGTACTTGTGACTAGACTTGTAATGTACTTGTGGCTGGACTTGTAATGTACTTGTGGCTGGACTTGTGATGTACTTGTGACTAGACTTGTAATGTACTTGTGGCTGGACTTGTGATGTACTTGTGACTGGACTTGTGATGTACTTGTGACTGGACTTGTAATGTACTTGTGGCTGGACTTGTGATGTACTTGTGACTAGACTTGTAATGTACTTGTGGCTGGACTTGTAATGTACTTGTGGCTGTACTTGTGAAGTACTTGCGACTAGACTTGTAATGTACTTGTGGCTGGGCTTGTGATGTACTTGTGACTGGACTTGTGATGTACTTGTGACTAGACTTGTGATGTACTTTTGCTTGGACTTGTTTGTACTTGTGATGTACTTGTGAATGAACTTGTGACTGGACTTGTGAAGTACTTGTGACTAGACTTGTAATGTACTTGTGGCTGGACTTGTGATGTACTTGTGACTGGACTTGTGATGTACTTGTGACTAGACTTGTAATGTACTTGTGGCTGGACTTGTAATGTACTTGTGGCTGGACTTGTAATGTACTTGTGGCTGGACTTGTGATGTACTTGTGACTGGACTTGTAATGTACTTGTGACTGGACTTGTGATGTACTTGTGGCTGGACTTGTAATGTACTTGTGGCTGGACTTGTAATGTACTTGTGGCTGGACTTGTGATGTCCTTGTGACTAGACGTGATGTACTTGTGGCTGGACTTGTAATGTACTTGTGGCTGGACTTGTGATGTACTTGTGACTAGACTTGTAATGTACTTGTGGCTGGACTTGTGATGTACTTGTGACTGGACTTGTGATGTACTTGTGACTGGACTTGTAATGTACTTGTGGCTGGACTTGTGATGTACTTGTGACTAGACTTGTAATGTACTTGTGGCTGGACTTGTGATATCCTTGCGACTGGACTTGTGATGTACTTGTGACTGGACTTGTAATGTACTTGTGGCTGTACTTGTGAAGTACTTGCGACTAGACTTGTAATGTACTTGTGGCTGGGCTTGTGATGTACTTGTGACTGGACTTGTGATGTACTTGTGACTAGACTTGTGATGTACTTTTGCTTGGACTTGTTTGTACTTGTGATGTACTTGTGAATGAACTTGTGGCTGGACTTGTAATGTACTTGTGACTAGACTTGTAATGTACTTGTGACTGGACTTGTAATGTACTTGTGGCTGGACTTGTGATGTACTTGTGACTAGACTTGTAATGTACTTGTGGCTGGACTTGTGATGTACTTGTGACTAGACTTGTGATGTACTTGTGACTAGACTTGTGATATCCTTGTGACTAGACTTGTAATGTACTTGTGACTGGACTTGTGATATCCTTGTGACTAGACTTGTAATGTACTTGTGGCTGTACTTGTGAAGTACTTGTGACTAGACTTGTAATGTACTTGTGGCTGGACTTGTAATGTACTTGTGGCTGGACTTGTGATGTACTTGTGACTAGACTTGTAATGTACTTGTGGCTGGACTTGTGATGTACTTGTGACTGGACTTGTGATGTACTTGTGACTGGACTTGTAATGTACTTGTGGCTGGACTTGTGATGTACTTGTGACTAGACTTGTAATGTACTTGTGGCTGGACTTGTGATATCCTTGCGACTGGACTTGTGATGTACTTGTGACTGGACTTGTAATGTACTTGTGGCTGTACTTGTGAAGTACTTGCGACTAGACTTGTAATGTACTTGTGGCTGGGCTTGTGATGTACTTGTGACTGGACTTGTGATGTACTTGTGACTAGACTTGTGATGTACTTTTGCTTGGACTTGTTTGTACTTGTGATGTACTTGTGAATGAACTTGTGACTGGACTTGTGATGTACGTGTGACTAGACTTGTAATGTACTTGTGACTGAAATTGTAATGTGCTTGTGACTAGACTAATGATGTACTTGTGACTAGACTTGTAATGTACTTGTGACTGGGCTTATGATGCACTTGTGACTAGATTTGTAATGTACTTGTGGCTGGTAGTGTGATGTACCTGTGACTAAACTTGTGATGTTCTTGTGACTAGACTTGTGATGTACTTGTCACTGGACTTGTGATGTTCCTGTGACTGGACTTGTGATGTACTTGTGACTAGACTTGTAATGTACTTGTGGCTGGATTTGTGATGTACTTGTGACTAGACTTGTAATGTACTTGTGGCTGGACTTGTGATGTACTTGTGACTAGACTTGTGATGTACTTGTGACTAGACTTGTAATGTACTTGTGGCTGGACTTGTAATGTACTTGTGGCTGGACTTGTAATGTACTTGTGGCTGGACTTGTGATGTACTTGTGACTGGACTTGTAATGTACTTGTGACTGGACTTGTGATGTACTTGTGGCTGGACTTGTAATGTACTTGTGGCTGGACTTGTAATGTACTTGTGGCTGGACTTGTGATGTCCTTGTGACTAGACGTGATGTACTTGTGGCTGGACTTGTAATGTACTTGTGGCTGGACTTGTGATGTACTTGTGACTAGACTTGTAATGTACTTGTGGCTGGACTTGTGAGGTACTTGTGACTAGACTTGTAATGTACTTGTGGCTGGACTGGTGATGTACTTGTGACTAAACTTGTG